GGAGATCACTACATATCCTCTCGCTCTCTCTACTATAGATCTCCTCCATCCGTTAACGCATAGATTCGACTCTCCCTCCTCTTACCATATGACAGCGCCTCTCCCCTCTTTTACTCTAAGATCTCCTCTCTCATGTTCCTCCTCTTAATATAGATCTCCTCTTCCCTCCCCTTACCATATCGATCTCGCTCTGCCCTCCTCTGTTACCCATATGATCTCATTCCTTCCTTAAAGCATAGATCTCGCTCTCCCCATTTTGACGGCATAAGATGCTCTCTTCCCCTCCTCTTACCACATAACATACCCTGCTCCTCGCCTTTACGCATAGATCTCCTCTCCGTACCATAGATCTCTTCTTCTTACGCTCTTACTATAGACGCCTCTTCCCATCCCTTACGCATAGATCCTCCCGCCCATCTCTCTTACTATAGACCGCCTCTTCCTTTTCTTACCATAGATGCTCCTCCCCCCTCCCTCTACTACTAGACGCGCCTCTTCCCTCCCCTTACCATCAGATCTCTCCCCCCCTCCTTTACTTAGACGCCTGCTTCCGGCTCTTCTTACCATAGATCTCCTCCCCCCTCTCTCTTACTATAGACGCTCGCTTCCGCTTCGCCCCTTACCATAGATCTCCTCCCCTCTCCTCTTATTATAGACCGCCTCTTTTCCCTCTCTATACCATAAGATTCCTCTTCCGCTTCCACTTCTTACGCATAGACCTCTCCTCCCTAGCTATTACTATAAATCTCCTCTCCCCTTCCTCTTACGCATAGACCGCCATCTTCCCTCTTCTTAACGCATATGATCTCCTCTCCCCTCGCTCTTTACCTCATGAGATTCCTCTTCCTCCTCTACATAGATTCCTCTCCCGCCCCATTTTTGACCATAGATCTCTTCTCCCCTCCTCTCACCCACACATTACCCTCTCCTGCGCCTCTTAACAAATAGATTCTCCTTTCCCATTACCATTAGATCTCTTTCTCCCCTCTCATTACCATGAGATCTCCTCTCCTTCTCATTACGCATAATCTTCCTTTCTTCTCACGTTATCATAGATTCCTCTCGCCGCTTTTCTTACCAGCTAGATCATCCTCTCCTCTCCTCTTACCATAGATCTCCTCTCCTTTCCTCTTACCATAGATCTCCTCTCCTCTCCTCTTACCATAGATCTCCTCTCCTCTCCTCTTACCATAGATTCTCCTTTCCCCGTTACCATAGATGCTCCTCTCCCTCTTCTTACCGATAGATTCCTCTCTCTCTCCTCTTACCATTAGATCTCCTCTGCCCTTCCCTCTTACCATATGATCTCCTGCTCTTCCCCGTAATCAATAGATCTCCTCTCCCCTCCTCTTTACCACACATACCCTCTCCTCACCTCTTACCATAGATCTCCTCTCCCGTTACCATAGATCTCTTCTCCCCTCCTCTTACCATAGATCTCCTCTCCTCACCTTTTACTATAGATCTTCTCTCCCCTTCTCTTTCGCCATAGATCTCTCTCCCCTCTTCTTACCATAGATCTACTCTCCCATCCTCTTACCATAGATCTCCTCTCCAGCGTAGTAGGTGTTGTTGAGTGCGAGGACGGCGAACGGAGACGGCCGAAGATCCTCGCCTCCTCCGTGGCTCGGTCGCATGCTGTCGCATCGGTCGACCGGTGCGCCGACAGCGTACGCAACCGCAACGTCGGCGAGCGACGCCATGACGACGACGACGACGACGAAGACGACGATGTTGCACGCGCCAAATTGTTTCATTGTGACGATGGCGACGATGACGACGTCGTCGGCTTCGATTAAATTTTTTTAGAGTCAGGTGTTGGATGGATGGACGGACGGACGGGCGCACAGCAAGAAGGGGGGATGGATAGATTGATTAATTAATTGATTGATTGATTGATTGGTGGATGGATGGATAGATGGATGGGTGGATGGATGGATGGATGGATGGATGGGATGGTGGTAATGGATGGATGGATGAATAATGAATTGATGCGATGGATGGCTGAATATGATGCGAATGGCATGGATGGATTAGATTAGATTGATCAGATGGGTAGATGGATAATGAATGGATGGATGGATGGATAGATGGATGGATGATGGAATGATGGATGGATGGATCGGATGGATGGATGGGTGGACTGAATGAATGAATGGATGGATGGATGGATGAATGGATGGATGGATAGATGGATGGATGGAATGGATGGATGGATGGATGGATGGATGATGGATGGATGGATAAATGGATGGATGGATGGATGGATGGATGATGGATGGATGGAATCGGTATGGATGGATGGATAGATGGTGAATGGATTGGATGGATGCGATGGATGGATGGATGGCATGGATGGATGATGGATGGATGGATGGATCGATGGATGGATGGATGGATGGATGGATGGATGGATGGATCGATGGATGGATGGATGGATTGGACGGTGGATGGATGGATGGATGAAATTAAATGAATGAATTGATGGGATGATGGGTGGATGGATGGCATGGATGCGATGAATAAATGAATTGATCGATTGGATAGATGAAATAGCATCGATCGCTGGATGGACTGGATAGATTGATAGATTGGGTGATGGATAAAGTGAATGATGGATGGATGGATGGTTTGGATGGATGGATGGATGGATGGCATGGATGGAATGGATGGATGATCGGATGGATGGATGTGATGGATGGATGGATTGGATGGATGGATGGTATGGATAGATGGATGGATGGATGATTGATGGATGGATGGATGGATGGATGGATGGATGGATGGATGGATGGATGGATGGATGGATGGATGGATGGATGGATGGATGGATGGATGGATGGATGGATGGATCGGAGGATGGATGGTGGATGGAAATGGGGATTGGATGGACGGAGTAAAACCAGATGAATAAATGAACGTGGCGTGCGCATCAACTGTACGCGCTTTCTTTCCGCGGGTCGGTGATGTACTAATTCGTGACTTTCAGACTCATAATCACTGAAGCCAAATCCTTGGTAATGAAAATCGCCCGCTACGTTGATCTCCTTGTCCTTGTCGAGTCTTACCTCTAGTCTCTCTTCTTCTCTCGGACGCGCCAGTCACACAGCTTCACTCGCGTAAGAACCCGCTCAGATTACATATACAAACATCACGTCGCTCGTCTGCGCACTTGCAAAACTTCGCCTTTGCTCCCGGTGTTAATCTCCATTTAGCTGTCATTCGCTCTCACGTCTAGTACATACACCTCACGCACTCACACACACAAGTTCACGCCACACACAACGCCCCTGTCGTCGGCATTGGCCAGATTTAACTGTGCACATACAAAGTCACTGGCGGGCAATTTACGGGACTAATTCATAACAAATGGATCGATCGCGGCAGTGGGAGTTGCAGGCGCACGGCCGTCGTGTACCACCAGTCGGTATTCTCTTCGCTTCCAGTAGTGGCCACGTAAAAAGCCCTGCCCGCGGCGTTTTTGACGTGTATGCGACGGCTATTGTACTTTTTTTTCTTTTGCCTGGTCCACCGAGAACCGCAAAGCCACAAAGCTAGAGCAAGCAAAGTGCCCGCTATAACAGAGTGACTAAGTGAGTGAGTGAGTGAGTGAGTGAGTGAGTGAGTGAGTGAGTGAGTGAGTGAGTGAGTGAGTGAGTGATGAAGTGAGTGAGTGAGTGAGTGAGTGAAGTGTAGCGAGTGAGTGAGTGAGCGAGTAAGTGAGCGAGTGAGTGATTTAGTGCGTGAACGAGTACGCTGTTATTAACTGCTCGATAGGTCTAGGCGGTGTGATTACTCTCACCGAGCGCAGCCAAGAGACAGAAGGTTGACGCTGCATTTGGTCGTCGATGCAGGCACGCACGCAGTGAAGCATTCAGCGAACGGAGTCGACAAACTCGTGATTAACACGTGAAAGCGAAATTATTATTTGGCGTGGCTTAATAGCAACGGCTCACCTTTTTGACGCACGCCTTACCTGATATTATAGCCGCAAAATCTCTCGCTTCTCGATCACCACGATGTGATGAGATTTCCGTCGTGATATTTCGTTACAATGTTATCGTTTCCACCATGCAACAATTACATCGAGGCATTATATGGCCGACACGCATAGACTTCTCTCTCGGTGAAAACTTGCGAAGGTATTTCGATTGGTAGAATACTTCTCCGCGAAGAATTAGAGGAAGAGGTGAAGGATGCCAGAAAGCAACGATGTTGATCTGGCGCGTACAGTATCGCGAGGGAAATCTTTCACGTGTATGCTTGATAGGTATATCAGATGTGTGCGGCGTACGATGACGAAGAGTTAGCAATGCGTCTCACCGCGTCCGCTGCATGTCTGAACCCGATACCATGCCACACCTTACGTTGACCCAGATGCCAAGTCACACCTTACGTTGACCCAGATGCCAGATAACCTTACGTTGACCCTAATGCGATGTCACGCCTTACGTTGACCTAGATGTCAGGTAACCTTACGTTGACCTTAATGCGATGTCACACCTTACGTTGACCCAGATGCCAGATAACCTTACTTTGACCCCAATACCTGATAATCTTAGGTTGACCACGATGCCAGGTAACCTTGTTTACCCCGATGTCAGATAATCTTACGTTGACCCTGATGCCAGATAACCTTACGTTGACCCTAATGCGATGTCACGCCTTACGTTGACTCTAATACCAGATAATCTTACGTTGACTCTGATGCCATGTCACACCTTACTTTTACCCCAATACCTGATGACCTTAGGTTGACCCCGATACCATAGATACCATGTCGCACCTTACTTTGACCCAAATACCTGATGACCTTAGGTTGACCCCAATGCCAGGTAAACTTACGTTTACCCCAATACCAGATAACCTTACGTTGACTCTGATGCCAGGTAACCTTACGTTGACTCCGACGGCCGGTGTCGCTGAGGCGGCCCTGAATAAAGCTAGCAAATAAACGTTCGGGCGTAGGCGACCACTCGTCGGTCTTCACCGACCAAGCGACGACTGTAGTGTACACACACACACACACGTTCAAACTCGATAGCTGCAATTACTCGCGGAAAAGCAGCAAGAAAACGACGTCGAGTTGGCGACGTTTTTTTGGAATAATTGCGCGAGTGCGCGTCGCTGATGATGCCAGCTATGATCGATGACGATGACGATGGTGATCATGATGACGTCACGCCAGAAGTCATTAGTGAGTGAGTGGGGGGGGGGGTGCTTCTTCGCTGGCGTGTGCGCTCCTGTGCTCCACGTGTGTACGAGGAAGGTGTTTGCGCATTCGTCGTATCAGGAGCGTATAATGACAAATTTGTCATTATACGCTCCTGGTCGTATATGTGTAGGTGCGGCGTGACTGTGCTTTCGTGTGTGTGTGTGTGTGTGTGTGTGTGTGTGTGTGTGTGTGTGTGTGTGTGTGTGTGTGTGTGTGTGTGTGTGTTTGTGTGTACAGTATGTGTGTGCTTGCGTGCGTGCGTACATATGTACGTCATGCGTTCATCATAAAGCAGAGATACAGGCATACTTTCCTTCTATCCTTGTATCGTGCTCAGACCCGCCCACTCCGTCATTCTCTTCTCATCTCTCTCTCTTTCTCTCTCTCTCTCTCTTTCTCTCTCTCTCTCTCTCTCTCTCTCTCTCTCTCTTCTCTCTCTCTAGAATAACCTGGTCACGACGACGAGACAGAGAGGTCTGGC